TCAAAGGAACAGTGAACAGTTCCTGGTCCGACTCTGACTCTGACTCTGACTTCAGTTGGATCGATCAGAGGTTCACTGCTGCCGAGGAGCCTCCGGGCCACAGCACCGCTGACACGGCCCAGTGTGTGTGTGTGGGGGGGGTTCACAGCGTTCTGTCACAGACACTGACCTGTGACGTACATCATCTCTGTCTGTACGGCCCAGTCTCAGAGCAAGAACTTATCAAACAGCACCATCTTCTGGCAGGAAAAAATATGACGAACTTTATGTGGTTTTAATCTGATGAAAGAGCAGAGGCTGTAGCTGCTGTGGTCATCAGTTCACCACTAACTAACTAACTAACTAACCTCATTTTTTTAGTAATGCTGGACTAATACCCCCCTCATCCCTGGGGGGTTATTAGTCCCGTGGCTGTGAACACGTCTGCTGTGAGAGGAAACATCTGTTGTGACAGCATCAATATTAAATCCATATCTGGTCGACCTCTGACGCCTGACACGGAGCAGAACTAATTACTCTGTGACGACGTCACCACGACCTGACCTGCCACGGTGACCTGTGAAGAGCTGACGTCTACAGTCTGACCAATCAGGGAGCTCCAACATCAGGCCCCAGCCTGTGAGGTCACACAGGTGGTCGCACAGAGCAACGTGTGCATTTCTGAGGAGAGTTCATGTCCTCCAGAGATCTGCTGAAACAACCAGAGGACTGGGGGGGGTCAGGGGTCATAGGACGGGTCGGGGGGGGGGCATGTATAGCCAAGGTCTGTGAAATAAGTGGAGATATACAGTAGGTGGAGAGAAGAAGAAGAACAGAACAACACTTTAATGACAGGACAGTGGAGACGGACATTCACACAGCGCCACCTGCAGGTGGTGATGTAAGAGGCTGGAAAATCTTTCCTGCTTTAACTGTGTGAACATGGTGTGATTGGCCCAGAACACCGAGGTTCCAAACAGAACTAGAGCCAGAGGACACACACACACACACACACACACACACTGGCAATGTTTGGGGTAAACAGCTGCCCTGCCAGTTCAGCCTGGCTTTGCTGCACACCGTCAATACTAATGACAGCAGGACACAAAGCATCAGTGTAGCAGCCCGCGGGCCGCGGCCCAGGCTGCTCTGTTTCACAGGAAGGCCGTGAAGAAAAGACCTGGAATGTGTGGAAAATGACAGAGAGAAAGAACTGGAACAAAAAGATTAGAAAGTGAAAGAGAGCAAGAAAAAAAAACAAAGAGAGGAAGTTCTGAACCCCAGGAGAGTTCAGAGCAGTGGGCCGCAGCCCAGAGCAGTGGGCCGCAGCCCAGAGCAGTGGGCCGCAGCCCGCATCTCTCAGCCTCCGTCTGTCTAACCCTTCTGGCCCACTACTTCTTCAACAGTACCTTGTAACAGCCCATGTGGGCTGAGTGTGACTCCCCCCCCCCCCCCCCAGCAGTCTGTGATGTCACAGCTCTCCTCTGATGTTTTACAGGTCTGCAACGTGAGCCACTAAAAACTGAGAAGGAACGTCCGTGGTTGATGATGACGAGTCGTAACAGACGTTCGCTGTGGTTCAGTTCCTAACGTTCCTAACTTCAGACCTCTGTGATCCTCAATGACATCACATATAAATGATTCACGTCAGATTAGAGCCGAGGAGCAGAACGGAACACTGACTTCCTGATGTCCTGACAAGGAAGATGTGCTGTCTGCTGCCCCCTACAGGACTCCATTATTTATCCAGAGTCATGTGTCATGTAGCACAGCAGCAGACACAACAGTGAAACCCTATGGTCTCTCTCTCTCTCTCTCTCTCTCACACACACACACACACACACACACACACACTCCTCTGTCCATGGTGCTGACAGACAGAAAACACTGCAGCTGCTGTGTAATCATCTGGACCTGGGTCCAAGGCTTTGGTTTTGGTCCTTGCTCCGTGTCGACCTTGTTACTCAGGGTTTTTTGTGGTCAAAAACAGTGATGATGACTCAGCAACGACACGGTTCTATTTTCAGAGTCACTGAAACTGTAAACGTTAGGAAAGTATAAAAGGAAACCCTGGGAAAATGGACCTGGACCACATCCAGTCTCGTCCCTGTGTGGGTCTGGTTTCTGTCAGTCTGTCGAGACAAACCTCCAACCATCACTCA